TGTTTATTTATAAATGTGAGGCATATTTATTTATTTAAATTTCTTATAATAACCCTTACAAATTAAAAAGTACTTAAGTTAACTCAGCTGCTGTTAATTTGCAAGTGAAAAGGGTTTAAAGAATTTCCTGAAATTGTATGAACAATTTTATATTCGATTTGCCAGTAGAAGAAAATAAAGGTAGAAAAAAAAATACGAAAGGGAGAACAAGATTTATAAAGCTCCTAGAATACTCGTAGAAAAAGTAAGAAATAAAGCCATGAAGAGATATGTAGAAGGGACATGGAACTTTAGAGAGAGAGAGAGAGAGAAATAACAAGCGGCATATAGAAAAGGGGAGAGACAGACAGATGATCACAGTCAGAGAGTAAGATAGAGAGAGAGAGAGAGAGAGAGAGAGAGAGAGAGAGAGAGAGAGAGAGAGAGAGAGAGGGAGAGAAAGAGAAGAAGGTATATATAACTTCCAGAAAGATATAGGAAATGAGAAATATATGCATACAATATTAACAACAACTTTCAGAGAGATATCTCGAGATTTCCGGAAAGGTGTAAGGCAAAAAGTAAACGTAAAAAATTTGTAACAAAAATATATAATATAATCAATTTCAAATCAAAACAAAAGACAAAAATGTTAAATAAACTTCTGCACAAATTTTGACTCACAAATCAAAACAATGAATCTGAGGATCTCAATGGTAACCTCATTGATTAACATTGGAATCTCAACAACAATTACAATTTCGCAGCTCAAATTGTACAAGAAAAATTAATAAAAGAGAAAAGAAAAATGAAAAATTGATTGCAGTTTGTTAATTTAAGTAAAAACTTAAAAACTTTAATTAATTCGGTTTGAACAACAGCAGCTGCTTTTGAGAAGTAAACTTTTAGTCTGATTTTCAGCTGACAACAGCAGCTGAGAAATTGTTCGTTCGCTCGACTATCTGCTCTCGCATTATCAAAACTATTTCGCAAGTGTAAACAAACAAAAGTTTTGCATCTGTGGGCGCGGTCTCGCACCCTCGCACTCTGGCACTCTAGCACTCAATGGGTTAAAGTGGGAAGGCGAATTCTGCCAGATTGCGGTGCCCAGATCTTTGAATGCATTGCGTCTGGGTCTGGGTCTCGTTTGGGCATGAACTGTGCTGGGTTGCGGCTGGTTGTTCTGCTAGCTAGCTAGGTGCCGTTATTTCATTACCACTTTTGCATGACAATGCAGAAAGAAAAAACAGCGGCAGGGAGCGGGTAAGCGGGTTGAGAAAGCTGGCGACCCTCGTCGAACTGTGCACTGATGTGTTTTGCTCTGGGCACCCAAAAACTCAAGACTCAAGACTCGTGTGTCGTGTCGAGAGTCAAGAGTCGAGTCGAGACTTGAAAACTTTGCAACATTGCAGCAGCAGCGCGTTTTTCTTTTCGTTTTTTTTATTTTATTTTTTTGTTGTTGTTGTATGCAGCGCCGAAACGGGCCCAAATTGCTTTGGCAAAAGTGGAAAAACCGGTCCAAGTTGCAGTAAAGATACACACATGATTTCAAGCACACACACACACACATAAACACAGACACCCATTCCTGTTGTTGATAGTGCGAATGTGTGCGGTTAACATGGCTTAAGAAACTTTTGTGGGCTGCACTCCGCACTTCGCCGTTTGGAAAAGTTTTTCTCTGTTGGCCGCCTGAGTAGCAACAACAGATAAGTTGCAACTTTCAAAACTTGCCCCCAAAAAATGTTTTCTGTTTTCTTTACATTTTCGAATTGTTGTTTTTTCGTTTTTTGGTTGGTATTTTTCTTTTCTTTTTTTTCGTGCCATGTTTACAAGACGCCCTCTTTTACAGTGGCAACAACAAAGCAAATGCAATTTTTGGTGTTTTTTTTTGTTTTTTTTTGTATTTACTCCGGCAAAAAGTTTTTTCCAACACTTGTTGAGTGGCGCGAACCACGTGGACAACTAACGATGCAATTTTTATTTTGTAAATTAACTGCAATTTTTTATTTATTTTTTGGCCATTTTTGCGTAAAGTTAAGCTGCTCAAAGGCACAGCTTACGTTGAAATTTTTATGCAGTTCCCAGGTAGTATATGTATATTCTATCAAGAGAGCTACAAAAAGTATTTTATTGTGTTACAAACAGCACGAATTTGCTAAATATGCGACTTTACACACACACTATATTTTAATAAAAGTAAGAAAATATCGTTGCTAAACGAAATATTTATGATTTATCATTGTATGAAATGTATATATTATGTTATATTATTTTATGAATCATAGATAATAGTTTTTATGTAATATTTGAAATTTTTGAAATATTCAAATACAAATTAAAAACTCAAAATACGATTAAATGTGCACAATCTTCTCTAGTTATTTTTGTGGAAATTATATTGTAGCAATCTGAGCATTCGTGATATATTTGAAATATTGTGATTATTCATATATATAAGATTCCTTCTACAATTTCAATACCTAATTCGAATTCTTGATCCGCACTCATTAAAGTCAAACACCATTTTATAGGGCATTTGACAGTCGGATGGGGTCAATGTTAGCGCGCTTTGGCAGCTTTTCGTTTATTATCCCGAGTGTATTTGCCCAAAATTCCACTTGGTTGTGGCATCCACATGCATGCTTATGCTTGCAACCGCACCACTCTGCCACCTTGCCACGCAACATCAAACACCACCCAAAACCGTCTCCCTGCAGTCCAAACTTTTGCACTCAACGGCAAGCCGCCAAAAAAAAGACAACCAAAATAAATAAAAAAGAGCGAAAAACGCAGTCAAAGAACTTTTTCAAACGCTTGGCTGTTGACTTGTTTTCTTCTTTTTTTTTATGGTCAGAGACTTGCCCAACTCATATGCCAAGCCCTCCAATCCAGCAGTCCCTATTCCCTCCGCTGCTCTGTCTTTTTGCGCTCCTCAGCTGTCTGTATCACTCGATCAACAGTGCAAAATTCAATTTCACTTTTGGCACGCAAAAAACTTTTGACTTTTGGCGGTACACGCTGGGGCAGGCGGCGCATCACTTATCATATTCCAATTGCCCGCCCCAAAGCCATCAACCCCTCTTTACCCTTCCGACCCAACCAAGCAGGTGGCGCGCAGAAGTTTTGCTTCAAATAAACTTTAGACTTTAAGACCAAAAATTGCGTCGAAATTTCATTTATAAAAATTGCATTGTAGCTTCTGCACAAAATTAACCAAAAAAAAAAAAAAAAAAAAAGTGTGAGGAGAGGGATTAGATTGGCAGGGTGCGGGATAGCTGAAGGCCTTACAGTTTATTACAATGTGCTGTTGGCGTTGCAAATCCCCCGATGCGCACATACAGCATGCAGCATGAAACAAGAAGTGGAGACAAATTTACTCAGTGAAAACACCCAAAGGCAATCTGTAAGATACAAAAGTATCTTTTGCCAGCTGCGGCGACGCATTGCTCGCCCGGCCCAAAGTAATGACCAAAGCACGAGCTACAAAAACAAGTTGGCTGTTGCTGTTTTCTTTTTTCTTTACGCCCGCTGGCCACTTGAGAGGAAATATCTGAGCATTTCGAACATTTACGCTTCATCGATTGTGGACCAAGTTGTGCCGGCTAAGACACAAAAAAAAAAAAACAGAAAAGAAATAGCCAGTAAAGTATCTGCCAGATAGATACGAGTGCGCACAAGGTAGCAAAGTTTGCTGGCCAAACAAATAAACCACAGAGCTGCAGAGCTACAGAGCTACAGAGCTACAGAGCTGTCCCTCCCGTCAACCGCCCGACCCGCTGCTGTCGTCGTGCCTAAAACTTTTGTTTGCCCAAGTGCAGCGGGCAAAGCGATAAAAAGCCACAGCACGAAACCTAGTTGAGTCACTGAAGAGGAAAAGGACCGAACTAGCGGACGGGTTAGCCGGGCAGGCTGGAAAACTCGTTGGGCTGACCGGGCCAAGTTTACGAGCAGCTTCAATGGCCACACATTTGTTGACAGATCAGCGGGGCCAGCAGCGGGTGTGACTACCGTGCAGCGGGTGGCAGGGGAGGAAGGCGGTTGGCGGACAATTTTCTCATTAGCAGCTGGCCAGACAGTTCAGCAATTGACACGGGGCTAATTAAAACATATTTGCAACAACATCGATTTGATTGATAACAAGCAGCAACACAGAATAAAAACACAAGCAAAACAAGCCAATGTGTAGTCGGGAGTGCGCGACTAGAAGATGCGCTTGACTTGTGTATGCTATAAGAAATACCCAAAAAAAATTTGATGTCCAGCTAAAACTTTGTCTTATCTATGATTTGTTAATGGAAGAGCATATCGATAAGAATAATGATGCATTTCATTTGAATATATACTTTATATTTCAGCTCTCCTAGTTTCTCGAGACGGAAATAAGGAGTTGAATCGACTTCGTTCAACCCAGCTGCCTTCTGTGCACACAGCTAATATACCCTGCTTTATTAACCATTTTAAATGCGCAAACAAAATGTAAGAGTACAAACGCTGTTTGGCAGCGAAAATTTCACTTAAGCTGCCAATTTGGCAATTTGTTTGTTCGAAAATAATTTGCAGTACTCATCGCAGCGTCACCAAAGACGGACCATGCCCCATGCGCCACACTTGCTTGCAACTTCATTTTTCATATGCTCAATGGGGCATGCTGTTAATTGGCAGCTTAAGCAAGGCGCTGAGCTGCAGCTGAGCTCTGCTGAGCTGCAAATGAAGCAAGCGAGAAACGACCAGAAGAAGCAGCAGCAGTAGCAGCAGCTAGTTGAGCTTAATGAGTGCCCGAGTCAGAGCGAATGGCATTTATGATATTAAGCATTACGAGTAACTAAATGGTTCAAGTGCTGTTCTACAAGTTGTTCATGAATTAAGAAAAACTAATCCAAAGAGATTTAATTATATAAGACGTAAGTCTATTGATAATCTTTTACAGATTAAAGTATAAAACGAGCATGATAGCAAGACTTTTTTCCTTTTTCAGATATTTGCGGAATGTTTTGTCATACAAGATGCCTCTATTTCACCGATCTTTCCTATATCAGCTATATGATATAGTTGTCCGATGTCTTCTTTGCGTTGCACATTTCAAGTCAATACTAAAATATAAAAGTTGAAAGCAGTCTGCGCCCAAGTTTATAAAGAGATATCGATTTGCCGCAAAAAAAAACCCCAAAATAATACATATCAAACATTTTTATCGGGTTTCAAGCTGCTTTATAAGGGACTTTGAGTAATTGTTAAACTGAACAATGGAATAATTAAATATGCTAAATTATGCAACATCGTTTAAACACAGTTCTGCACACATACAAAAGTAATATGATAATAAGCTCTGTAAAAAAATTAACGAAATTTCGCGTAGGAAAATGCCAGTAGTTCGTTTAGCCGGAAAATGTGGAAATTGTGTTTTTATGACATTTACAAAAGTTATGTAAAAATTTGTTTTTTAAAGAACGTTTTTTTTTGTAATACTTTGAAATTGTTTTCTACAATTTTTAATGCTGAAAAATTGCACATATAAATATAAAAATATATAATTTATTTTTTATGTATATAAATTTTCTTCTTCTTTTGGGCCATCTCATGTTTCGCATAGCGATTGGTTCGCTGTGACAATAATAATAAACATGTGAATAATATTAATAATAATATATGCATTTATCTGGTTCGTTTTGCTTGGCGCATCTGTTTTTCGGTTAGCATAAATTTGAAAAATGTTGCGCAAATAAATTATCTGCAACATTTTTCTTCTTCTCTTCATTTGATAATTTATGCAATAACAAGAATTTCTCTGCTTTCAATTAAAATGTTTAGCGAAACTCCCGCGAAATTTCCGCAGCTGTTAATATTATAATAATTTTATGGTTTTTTTTTTTTTTTTTGTGGGCATGTTTCAATTTTTTTTCATTCTGGCAATTGGCAAAAATCAACAACAAAAGCGCCAGACGTAAAAACAGCTTACAAAATGTGTGTCTCACAATTTTTCTTGTTGCGTATGTTACACGAGAATTTTCACAATGTTTTTCGTTGGCTGCTTTGTGCTGGGTTTTTCAAGCTTTTCTCTTTATGCTTTGTCGGTCACAAAGGACACGAGACACGTCGTGTGCTAAGCAGCAGCAGCAGCAGCAGCACAGGAAACAGGAAAAAGGAAAAATCACTGGCAATTTGCATAAGATACAATTGAGTGAGTGTCGTCGGCGTTTTTCTTTTTTATTTTTTATATTCCTGCGCATTATTTTGCCTTTGTACGCTCGTGTAATGAATTATCATATTTCATGTGGCTGCCACACAAACACAGACAGCACACACGCACACTCCAAATGTTTGCATTCAAATTTGTGACCCATTCAAGGAATATATATGTATGTACGTATGTATTTACGGAGCCGAATGTAACATTGGGTAACATTGCGCCCAAGCCGCAAGAAATGAGTTACACAAACGAAATGCCGCAAAGTATGCAATAAAAAACACAGCAAAATGTGTTAGAGCTGCTATGTGTGGGTTAGTGTTGACTGACAGCTACCCTGTAATGCATTCAAACGCCGCTTTAAATGAAGCACGCCCCTTAAGAGTTGACACTTGAGTTGTCTTATGGGCACTTCAAGGCCCCGCATGACCGTTTGCAAATTTAGTACAGGGTATCGCAAAACAAAACGAGCAGCACCGAGAAAAATACAAAGCTACACTACAGATTCACAGATGCTGCAAAAGAGCAGATGGGCTGGCGGCGTAAATATAATTCATGAAAATAAACGTATATCTAAAATAAAGCATCGCGGCAAGCAAAGTCGAGTGTTGAGATTGAGCAAGGAGCAAAAGGCGCAAAAGGAGCCGAAATGTAGTTGTTTTAGGTGTGGTTCGTGTCGCGCTGGCTGTTGATTTGGGTCGCGGCTAGGACTTAGCAGCTAAGTCCACAGTATGGATGCTGCAGTTGCTGTTGTTGTTGTCCAGTTTCTGCGGCATCTTGGCAAGAAATGACACTAAAAATATGTAGGGTAGCTGCCCCAATAAAGCAAAAAAAAAAAATAAAAACCCTCAACAACTGTCCATCTGTTTGTCTCCATTCTCAGCTCTTTCACTATGGCTGACTCTTTGTCTCTGGCTGTTTCTTTTGAAATATGCTTTGCAGCAGCTTTTATAAACTGAATGTCCACTGTCCACTGTTTGTTGTTACTGCTGCAGTAAGCGCTTGTCGCTGAACATTTCATTCATTTGTGTTGCGGTTTTTTTCAGCTGACGGCTTACGAGCTGCGCTGCACTTTTCCTTTTGCTGGCTTTTCCATTTTTGTTATTATTATTTCTTTTTTTTTCGCAGCAACGCGATTTTAATTTTTGTACAGCTGCCACGCCCACGCTGTGCTAGCACTGTTGCCCTCATGTTTTGTTAGCATTTTCATAAATTTTCACAGCTCTCACAGAGAGCCAAAGCCTGAGTCTGACGCTGGACCGAGATGGGGGACGTCGGACGTAGCGCAGACCACAAAGCATAGCCCAAGCGTCGTGGGTTACTCATGTGTCATGAGCGCTGACTGGCTGGACCCCCCTCCACCACCCCTTCCTCTTCCGATCCCTTAACTGACTACCCCTCAGCTGCAGCTGGCTTGGAATTACACGCTTGTTACTCATGCAACGGCGCTGTTTGCCTCGTGTTCACCTCGCGATTCTGGTGAACAATTGCCAAGTCTCAAAAACGTAAAACCCATGTGCGCGCGCGGTCTGACAAAGAACAGAGCCAAGAGCGAAGCTCAGTGGCGTACGGGGCAGGGGATTGGCTTGTCGCGGAGTTGAAAGCCGCAGCGGCAGTTGCAGTTGCAGTCACTCGTTTGCAGCCTTTCGATTTGCAAATTGCATAACAATTCGCCAGTTGCCAGTTGGAAAAACTTTTCAAGTGAGTCGCGGCCATGTGTTGGCTAAGTGGGTGGGCGGCTGCAGAGGATTGGGGCGTGGCATGGCTCATAAAGCCACAGACTTTTAGTTGGAGTCTGGTTGAATTAACGCTTCAAGAAATATAGCTTTAAAGCTTTAAAAGCAAGTTTATGCTGAAAAGAAGCGTAATTTAAAATGGTTCGGTTCCAGAACCAGTTCGGCTAATAAACTGGATCGAATTGACGCAAGCTTTAAATAAAAGGCTAAACAACTAAGTTACTAATATCTATCATGGTTCAGGTTCAGAACTAGTTTAAAAGAATGCTTTGAGAGAATGATTTGATTAAAAAGCAAAATGAATATACGATAAGTTTATACCAGAATAGGTACAATACAACTGGAACCGGTTCATTTAAATCTCTTAGTAAACACAAAAATAATTCATTTCAAGAAAAAATTAAAAAGAACTGGCTCATGAGCCTGTTCAATTCCACCTTACTATGTGCGTACGTGCATACGTATTGAATTGTCAGATAAATTCGTATTGAAAATAAATCAAACTAAAGAAAACTTATTTCAGCTTCAGTTCAATTGAACCAGCTCAGCTAAGTCACTCGGCATTGCGCTGGCATTTTGAAGCAGTTCGAAGCAGCGACTTAATCAAAAATAAACACACCACGCTGCACATTGCGTATACGCAATGTTGCCCCATTTTTTCTTTTTTGCACAATTCTTCATCATCTGAACTCAACTAGGTGCAACCCCCACCGCCGACCGCCCGCTCGTACACCCCCGCTGCATTTTTATGATAATTTTAAGTATTATTGCATTGCAATTTTAAATGGCAAACATTTTGTAGCTGTCAGCGGAACAGTACAACTACTTTGCTTTTTAGGGGGTACCGCTGTTAACAACCCCCCCCCCCCCCTTCGCGACCCTTGCTGTGCTCTTTTGCCCAGTCTCCAGCTTGACTTTTATTATATTGTACAATATTTTAATGCAAAATGGAAAAAATTACTTTCATTTTCCTCGGAATTGGTTTTACAAGCAGCAGCAGCAGCAGCAGCAAAAGCCAAGTTAAAAAACTTTGAGCCAAAACAAGCAAACGGCGAAAACAGCGCGCAAAAGTTTTTCTGCTTCTTCGTCCTTTCTTTTTTTTTTTAGCAAGTGAAAAATGCAACAGTATCCCAGCAATTCCCCCGGTCCGCCGGAGTCCCCTATTCTGCATTACAACGCTCAGCTGGGACTGCTTTAGCCCCCCAGCTCCTATTGTGGATCCGCCCGCGCTCTTACTCTCTCTTTTTCTCTCTAGCTCTCCCGTGCAATATATGCAATGCAAAAGTTTTTAATTTAGCGCCAACTTAACGCTGAGACTTACAACGCAAAGCAGCTGGAAGAGAAATGACACAGGCAAGGGGAGAGAGCTGGTGTAGTTGTTGCTAAAATATGCTTTAAAAAATAATCAACTTGCTCAGATTGCAGCCAGCTGGTTCTGCTAACGCCCAAGAAATGGCCCATTTCCTTGGTCCAACTAATTCCCCAGCTGCAATTTCAGCTGCCTGTCGAGCTTAACCCAGCCAAACCTCTGCCTTCACTTCGTAGTTTCGATACCCCCCCTTTGGCGCCTCTGATGGACTGGATGCAGTGATGCCTAAGAAGCATCCAAGCGCATTTCGTGCGTAAATCTGCCTGGCCAGAAATGGACAGCGCCAACGGCTTAAGCCCCACGTCAGTGCTGCTCGCCTCTGCCGCCACCCAAAGAACCCCCAGACGGCGGCCATCAAGAGCTTAGGATCCGGCAAAAGGCATTTCGAAATGCGAGTGGCAGGCAACATGAGGCAGCTGCTGCCTGCCTGTTGACTGCCCGCTACTTGCCACAGCATGAAACATCAGCTTGAAGCTCACTGAACACTGAACGCAGCAAGGTGTGAGCTTTGCACCCTTAAATAATCATAAGAGCGTCTTTGACCCTTACACAATAAACAATTTATACAAACATGTAAAGAAAATAATACTGTAGACTTTTGCATAGTTGTAGTTGAGCCGAAGGATTTACAAAGTCAGACTGAAAGTTATTCCTGATATTTGAGCCTAATTACTTTGCTTCATTTAAGTATTCTCATTAGTCCGTTACAGTTTTATAATTACTTGAAATTATCTAAGTAATTACTTTGCTTCAGTCCAATTCCTCAAAAAATAAAATTGGAAGGCACATAACGCAGCTTTAGTTACTTAAGTAATTACGTTATCCGATTGCAATTACTTCATCATCATATTCATATTATATATATTACAATTGACAGTTATTCCGGATATTTAAGTTAAATTACTTTTAATTTCTTAGGTATTCATTAATTAGTTAGTTATAATTAATCAAGGTATTAAATCTCATGGCCCAAATGTCTGATAATTACTTAAGTAATTACATTATTTAAATGCAATTTATAACAATTAAAATATGGGTAAATATTTGTTTTTCTCAGTTTAAGCGTAGTTTATATTTATAAAATAAGGCCAATTAAGTTTTGACTTTTAACTCTAACATTTAGAGGTCGCCCCTTAATAGTCCAGCTTAGGAACTTTGCAATCAAGGGACTAACTATTGTTTTGATATTCTTAAAGTTAGACTGAGAGTTGCTTGATAGTAATCAAAGGTGAGTTGTTTTTGCCGCCCTACTCCTCATAATCCCCGTATGCTCAACTTGTATCCTTTCACACTTCCTTTCAGTTTGCAACAAACATAAATCGCTCAACTCAAATCGAGTTGAGTTTTAGTTCAGTTTTTGCGCACCTTTAAACTTTAACTAGTTCAGATGGCGTGAGTTTTTCAACGCCCACAATATGAACACAGACACTGCATGGATGTTGGGGGGACAGCGGGAACAGTTCGGGTCAGCGGATCGTGTAGTGTACTAGCTGGACGGGTCAGTTGGTCAGCGGTGGAAATGGGTGTGTGTATGGGGGCGGGTGAAATGCAGCCAACTTTTATTTTGTTACATCGCAGAGAGACTCGCGTGTTGGTCGTCGTGTTGTTGTTGCTGGTCATGTTTTTCTACAATGTTTTTTTTTTTTGTTATTGTTATTTAACCCTTGTCAAGCCGCGCAGCGGCCCCAAAAAAATGTGGGTCACTTGACGCACAGCAACAGCAGCGGCGAGCAGCTGAAGAGCTGCAAACAGGAGCTGGAAAATTTATTGTGCGTCGTTGTCGCCGCCAGTTTTTAGTTTTGGTCAGAGCTTTGACTGCCAAAAACTGGGCAACAACAACCAGAACAACAACAACAACAGCAAAAATGTTGATGTTGTCGTGCATTTGCTCCAGTTTAGGCCCCATTCCTCCCTGTACACACACACACACACACACAAGCCCCCGCCGCTGTTTTATTGAGTGTCTGCGTTTTGGGTTTTCCAGGCAAATAGGAAGTTTATATAGGTTGACAGCTTTTCGGTCTATTCCCGAGCCGAATTCTATTTTGTTTTAATTTATTGAAGCACTTTTGAAAAGCGCGACATTGTTGACCGGCTATATAGATAATATTAATAGCTCCAACTGGTCAGCTAAAAGGTGAATGCTTCTAATGGGCCCCCCCTTTGCTGGGAACGCGCAATGCTAGCCCCTCGAAAAACATTTGCGTGAAAGATGTCACGCCATAAACATTGTTTATTGAACCATTAGGAAAGCGATAGCCAACCCTAACACAATCTCGGTAAAGCTGGCCCAATAAAATGCTGTGACAAATGCCCAACCGAGCAGTGAGATAATATTCGGGCCCAAAAGTGCATTAAATAATTCTTTGTGAAATTAGCTCTCTTTCCCTACACTAGCCAATCGCAATCTGTGCCCAAAAAAGGTCCTTGCAAATAATATGCAGTTTTCGCATGATCACAACTTAGTAACTACTTGGTAATTTGGTATGTAGATTGGCTAAGTAAATACACGACTTACAGTCAGTTGTAGGCCGAATCAAAGCTACTTTTCTCTTTGCTCATGCTGTCATACTTATGAGAAATAGAGAAGTTAAGGAGCTTTATCCTTATCAGTACAACCAACAATGGCATCGATAATGCGCAAACCCAGCGCTAGTGTTATATTCTTTCATGGATCGGGCGATACGGGCCCCAATGTGCTGGAATGGGTGCGCGGTTTGATTGGCAGAGACTTCAAGGGGTCGCATATTAAATATATATTTCCCACGGCACCCATGCAAGAGTATACGCCCTTTGATGGCGAGATGTCCACGGTGTGGTTCAATCGCGAATCCGTTGATATTGCCGCCGAGGAGGATCAGGGCAGCATGGCGCAGAGTTATGATATAGCCAAGCAATTAATACAACAAGAAGTCGATATGGGCATACCACACAGTCGCATAATTGTCGGCGGTTTCTCGATGGGTGGCGCCTTGGCGCTGCACACGGGCTACCACGTGAACCGGAATTTGGCGGGCGTATTTGCACATTCCTCCTTTCTCAATCGTAAGTCAGTGGTCTATGAGTCGCTCGTGGCGGAATCTATGCATCCAGAGCTTCGCATGTTTCATGGCACAGATGACAAAGTGGTCGAGTTTCAATGGGGTCGCGAGACATTTGACAGATTGCAAGAATTGGGCGTTATTGGCACATTTACGAGCTTAAATAATACGGCACATGAGCTGCAGAAGAGTTCAATGCTGGAGGTTGAGCAGTGGATTCTAAAGAAGTTGCCCTAAGAACCTCGCATTTGAATATAAATCCCTTTTAGAACACTGTTCCTCTAATTTCTCTTGGTTTATTGGTTGCCTTAGGGTCTATGATCCGTATAAAGAATTTGTTTCAACAGAAATTGTTATTAAACTACATGCTTTAACTTTAAAATCCAAATATAAAATAAAATATTTGTCCCCCTAAAATATTCTAAGAGATTTTGCCACACTATTTTATTGTTTTCTATTTTATTATGTCATGGTTTTCTTTATTTTTTTTTGGATATAGTCATATGCGTAATTTATATAAAAGAAAATTTAAAACGAGCAATATTTTCGAGCAATGTTTTTAACTGTGGAACATTAATGAACGAATTTTGCAACACTGCAAACCTTTAGCAGTTTCTTTTTCCTAGATATATACGAATGTATATTCTAGAAATTGTTTTAAACTAAATTTAAAATATTTACCTAACCTTAAATAAACATTGGCTATTTTCGAACACTGTTTTAGAATGGATTCCTTTTTGTTTACTTGTCTTTTGCTGCAGTACGGTGCTCGAACTTTATTCCTTTTTTTGTGCGCATAGCAAATACCAATTGAGTAACGCCCTGGGCTACTGCTCTGCTGTTGCCCGCCCCACTCCCCCCCCCCTTTTTTTTCTACTAATGCTGCCCCGCACACCCAACTCATTTGCACCAGCTCTTCCTCTATTTATACACTTCACCACCTGTTTAAATAGCCAAGTTTGTTGCACAGCTAATTAAGTCAAGTTTATGCAAAGGGGTTTCACTCGCTTCGTTTTCGCACGTTCGCACCTGGCACCCCTCTTTTGCTGTTGGCCCCACCCTTCGCCCTACCATCGCTAGCCACCCTTCGCTGTAGCCGTTGAGCTGCTGTGAGCTTCTAATGCCTTTGTTTTCCCACACATTGGCCCCAGCGAGTGGCACCAGCCGAGCTGTTAATGTTAAGTTCTGTTGCAGTTCAGTCCTATCCATTGGCATCCCATTCCGACCCCTTCACTGCTCGGCACTTCCCTCTGTTTTTCTGCTTCCATTGTAATGTGTAAATGAGCCAGTTCTGATGAGCGGAATTGAGTTGGAGCCCCCTGCTCGAGCCTGGCCACAATGACACTGATGGATTTGCTGTTAATCAATATGAAATGAGCAGAGCAACAGCAGCCACCAAACAGTTGCAGACACACACACACACACTGTTGCCTCCCTGCTTGCTGTTGCAGGCAGCCACGCCCCCATCGCCCTCATTGCACAGCTTTAGCTTTTTGCCGCTTTGACGCTTTTGGCCAGAACAGCTGAATGAGATTTCACACAACTCTGGGTTGCCCTTTGCCTGACCAGAACGTGGCATATAGCCAGCGTTTTTTTTTTGCTGGCGTTATGTGTGTTGAGTGTTGGTTAACGTACATTTTCATTTTTTTTTTTTTTTGCCAGTGTGCTTAACTTTTGTTTTATGAGAAAATATTGTACAAGTTTTTTAATTGCTTTTACGCTTAAAAAACACGCAAATTTTACCAGCGAATAAGTCGTGAGTGAGTGTGTGCGTTTGTATGTGTGTGTGAGTGTTGAACAACAACTTTATTTCCATTTCGGTTGCATATTTGGCAACACTCGGAAAAAAACTATGCAGAAAAGTTAATTTCTGCACAAAAATACTTTTTGAAGCAACTGCCAAGTAAAGTTTATAGCCTGTCTGTGTATGTGTATGTGTGTGTATGTGTGTGTGTGTGTGCGTGTGTGTGCGTGTGTGTGTGTAGATGTCTCTGAGTGATTTATGATTACAAATGGAATTTATGAGCAAGTCACATAGCAGACAATTCATAAATATTTATAAATTGTGCCAGCAAAACCGAAACAATTAACTTAATCGATTTGTGGGCGAGAGTCGAAAAATAGGCGGGGCTGGCCACAACAAACGACAGTCGATTGATTACTTAAAAATTATGTGTGAAGCCCAAAAATAAAACCAACAACAACAACAAAAACCGTTGAGAACTTTTGCTGTGAAGTTTTCAAATTAATTCGTGTCTTTAGGCAACCGCAGCCGAAACTTTGGAATTGGCAAACGCTTGAGAAATCTACGTAAAAGAACAATAAATAAATTCAAAAATAGAAAACAAGGTTAATCCCCGATTGACTGATTAGCAGATACCCTGCATTTATTTTTACATGCAACTTACCAACACTTTCCGTTTTAGGGAGTTTTCTTACACTGTTTTTTACACTATTAGACAAGACAAGAGCATACTTCACACTGTTTAGAAGATTTTTACGTAAGCGTATTGTTTTAAAGATTTGTATGGATTTTATTGTCCTTCGCCCACTTTTTCAAGCACATGCAACCCTGTTTACTCGCAGTGTTGTACAGGGCATAATACATTCAAAACATAAAACAGTCTTCAAGGCAATTAGCATATGTCTGCCGCATACATCTTGTATCTGCGATCAGCGCGCCTCTGTGTGTGCAAGTGTGTTTAATTTTAATTGAAATTCATTTACATTTAAAGCCAAACAATTATGCGCATTTTCCCAGGCTCCAAAAGAAACAATTTGTAAATGATGATGCACGCAAGATAAAACCAAAGCCAAAAACAAAAAACGTATGTTGAAAATTTGCATAAATTAAAATAACGAAGAAGACAACAGCCGAAACCGAGAAGAGATATAAAGATGCTAAAATATCTATATCTGTGAACGCTGAAGAGCTGAATGTCGCCTCGTTTATCTACAGACTTGGTCAATAATGCATTATGAGCTGGCCAACAGATGCTGCCACAGCTGAAGGATTATAATGCAGAGAATTTGTGGGCAAAAAAACATTTTGCAGAAGCATTTGCTTCGGGTTGTCGTTTGCGCTCGTTTGAGTAAATGTTTTGTATATGTTTGTAATCTCGTAATCGATGCAATTTATATGAAAATACTAAACAAATTGCATAAGAACACACACAACACACACATTCTCCTCATCTCCCTCCCTCTCTCCCTCTCTCTTACGCATATCTGTGTAATACAATCAAAAACTTTGTTAAGCGCATTATGCATGCCTCGACTGGCGAATTGGGGACGGGCAAGTGGTGCGGGCATCTTCAATGGATTTGCCTGACCAATGGCAATGGCCTTTTGTGTGTTGCCTAGCTAGCTGCTCATTGTGCATGAAGTTTACATGAATTTGCTTGAAATTGTTTGCCCGTTCGCCTTATTGTTGCCACACATGAATTTCATATATCATTTTTTTGCCCTCTTTGTTGCAAACTGAAATGGAAAGTGAGACGAGGCGTGGTAGCCCGCCCAAATGGCTGCTGGTTACATGATGCTCAGCTAAGCAAGTGCGTTGAGCGTAACTTCGCAAACACGTGCCTAATTTTGGCACTTTAAGTTACATATTATTGTGCTTGAGTTCGAACTTGGCAGCACTGATTTGTACAAGCACGCAAGAGCTGGCTAAAACTCTGCAAGATAAACAGATTACAGAATTTTGGGCCAAGTACACACATCAATCTGCATCTTTAACTGACAAGCTGAGCACAAGCTTTAAAGAAAATTAAACAAGCGGCTTAGATTTCTGCACAAACTAGCAAATTTGTCTAAGCTTTTAAGACAATTAAATAATGATAACAAGAATAATAAGAGCACGTGGTTATAAAACAGGCTTGAAAATGTTGTATGCACAAACTTATGTTGCATAAATTTTATAAAATAGCAAGTGAAGATATCTGCGGCACGCCGAAGACTTGAAACCCTTGTCCACACTTGCCTTTTGCAAATATGTGACAAGTGATTCTGCCATACAAGAACCAACTTTTCGACTAATCGTTCCTACGGCAGCTATATGATGATCCGATCCGTCCGGTCTCGACGTAATTACCGCCTAACTGAAAGCCTGAACACTGATATATATATAGTCTTCGGGGTCTGAGATGTCGCCTTCTATGCGTTATACTTATTTCATGACAAAAAATTAATTTGTAAAACTTTGATTTAATAAAAAAAAGGGGGCAAAAAGTAACTTACCCAAAATAAATATGCAAACCAACGAAATTATAAGGCACAAACGAAACGAAACGAAACGAAGCTGATTTTGGTACAGATCCTAAATAAATGAGCTAATGGCAAACAATTTTTTAAAGTTTTCAGTTTGAGGGGCTGGGGGAAGGGCAAATAAAAACTGAGTTTTGGGCAAATATTTGCTGCAAACATACGAAATTTGCCCTGGCAGCAACTGGAAATTGTTGGCCAAGCATTTATTTTCACTGGCAAATTAACTGCTGTTGCTTTTCCTCCTTCTTTCTTTTTTTTGGCCCCTTTGGGAGCTGGCACGTTTAATTGTGCGTGCACAATTTGCACACACGCACACACAAAGTCAATTTAGTGTAAAATTTGAAATGATTTTCACTTTTTTTTTTGCCTGCAAACCTGGCCAAGGACAAAGGATAATCCAGCTGGGAGTAGGCCAGGCACACAAAAAGGCCAAAGCTTTAAACATGTGTTTGTCAACCCGCAAATGAGTTGGCGAATTGTGCATATGACACAGAACGTTGTGTAATTCAGAAAAAGATACTTTTGAGCAAGATGAGTTCGCGGAGCAAAAGCAAACAAATGAACTTGCAAAAAGCAGAGAAAACAGTTGAACGAAAAATTCAAAATACACAACAAAAAAACAGAAACAGAACCAAAACAAGACAAAAGCAGCCCACGAAAACAAATGAGAAATTGCTCAATGCGTACAAAAAATTGTTAAGTAAACAAGTGAAAAATGCAGAAACTGTTTGATAAGAAGAATGAAGAGCGGCAAATGTAAGCAAAAAAACGAACGAATTAAAGTCGCGTACAAATTGCTGAAAGCCGTCCATTAAAAAGCTTGAGTTAAGGAACATGCAACGACTAGCGGATACCCTGCATGCATACGATTCACAAAGATTTGCCTTTTAGAGGCTTTCTTTCATGACTGAATTATTTTATTAGTTTTATTTATTGGGGAAAATTAAGTTTTCTAGATTTTTGATTTGAATAAATTTCATGTCTTCCCCTTACCCATTGAAAGACTTTTAAGGGCTATCTCAATATTTTCGGACAAAAGCAATCCGAGTAAAGGGTACAAAAAGCTTGCACACAATAAAATAAATAAATACAAGCGCAATTAAAAAATGAAATAAGAGATATAAACAACAACAAAAAAAAAAACATGTTTTTGTTTTGCTTCTCGTTTCGTAGAGCTCGAAACGTGCTGTGCATGCAATTGGCGAGTGGGCGTTGCACATGGCTGGGGCGTGACCAGTTGCACACACATGCAACAAATTGCAAGCAGCACGTCGCAGCAAAATGATAAACAGAATCTATTGCATACTTTGTGGCGCGGCCAGGCAAAAACAACAACAACTACAACAACAACAACGGCAACAAGGAGTACATTGTTGATAAGGCTCAGGCAGCAGACAAAGTTGCCAGGGTGTAGGTAAAATGGACGGCATGCTGCCAGGGTTGTCATCATCAACAAAGTAATCATGCGTTACGCCCACCTCCTAGGCAAAAGTTTGCCCAGCTGGCACAAGTTGTGCCTCTTCTTTGCCTTTGCATTCTTCTTCATCTTCCTCTGCTGCTGCTACCCGCTTTCAGAGTTGCTGCGGCTCTTCTTCTTCTTGCGCCCGCTGCCAGAGTTGTTGCTTGTTTCATATTTTACGTTTTTGCGTGCAAAATTTTATTATTAAAATGCAAAATTGAAAATTGCTCCGACGTGCTGCAGCAGGCGCTGCCGTTGCGGGGGGGCGTGACAAAGCGAACGCATATGAGCGATGCGTGACAAGTGGAAGAAAAAGAAGAAGGAAGAGCGGAGCAAGGCAATAGAAAGTTGTGCATAAAGGAACTGTGGCGCAGCTCCAAGAGCTGCTTTAATATTAAACGCCATACAATGAGAGAGACGGAGAGGAAAAGAGAGCTCCCAAAAAAATAATGTGGCAACTCTGGCAAAAACCCTGCACATGCTTTGCCTTTGATTTAATTTCAAGTTTCATTTTTGCGGCTCACACCAGGCTCAAACTAATATTAAAATTTACTTAAACTAAGCACACAATTACAGTACACTTACGCGCTCTTCTACACACACACACACACACATAAACTTTTATAGTGCGATTTGGGTTTTGACTAGTAGAATATAACCGTAAAGGTTGCTTACCTGTAAAGAGACAAAAAAGAGAATATGTAAGTAATTGGCGTCGATAAAGCGAATGAAATGAAAGTAAAGTAATTTAAAATTAAAGAGTACAAGACTATGAGTTACCCTGTAGATGAACCGCTTGAATATATATAATGCGAAATAATTAATATGTACTTTAAGCCATCAAAGTGGGCTTTACATATATGAGACTTTTTTGCAGCCCTTTTAAAATCACAGGGTATACGAAAAAAATCTGCATGCAGCTAACTGTTAGCGCTTTTTGCATTTGCAATTCGTTAAAAGATTAAAAAGCCACAAATGGAATGAAGAAATGACAAACGAAATGGCATTAAATGGAACGAGATGAAATGAAACGTAATGCGAAAGGACAAAGTAAGTAGCAGAGCGGCGTTGAGGAGTGTAGAATTTCATTTAATTACATAAAATACGCAAAGCGCTTAGCGGCTAATGTGGATAACCAGAGCGAGAGGCGGCAGGCCGTGCGAGCGAAAGAGAAAAGACAAGTCACTTTGTATGTATGTGTGCCTGATTGTGTGCTTGTGTGTGCGTCGCTGCTGGCATTGAACAGGAAGCTCAGATTTCACAATTCACATGCAACGAGAGAGGCAAAAAAAAAAAAAACAAAATAAACAACAAATTCAACGGGCAAAAAATGTAATGGGAGAGAAGCAAAGATGATGAGACAGAAGTACTTAGAGAGTGAGCGGGAGAGAGGGGAGTGTGAGGCAGAGCTGCACCCATAGCCATAGCGGCTAATAATGACGTTTATATGAGAGACAAGCAGCAGCAGCAGAAAACAGAAGCAACAGCAAAAAGCGCAAGGGAAATATGAATATGCATAAGGCAGGAGACGGTGGCAGAGCGGGATGGGAAGACTGCAAGACAAGGCAAATGAAGAGCAAAGCAACAACTCAAATGCAAGGCTG